CACTATAGTATTTGCAGCAGCAATCACTGTACCTGGTGATTACGCGGATAACGGCATACCAAATTTTTACAGAGCGACAGCCTTCAAGATCTTTAGCATTTCAGATGCACTCTCTCTGTCCTCATCAGTTGCTGCCATCATAATGTTTTTGTCCATCCTTACGGCACGGTATGCAGAATATGATTTTCTTTATTCCCTACCCAAAAGGTTAATATGGGGTTTTTTGATGTTGTTCGTCTCTCTAATTACCCTGATGGTAGCGTTTTGTGCCGCTATTTTTCTGGTGTTTTGTAACCAAAAGGCATATTGGTTACTTGTTTTAGTAGTGGTATCAGCCTTAGTGCCTGTGTTCATGTATGCTGTTTCGCAGTTTCCCCTCGTATGGGAACTGTTCATTTCGACATATCGCCCTGGCATTTTCCGCAAGCAAGGCACACGAGTCCTCTACTAAGTGATGATAAGTGATAAAATATATTGAAATTAGTCTCTTTAGAGAGTGTGATTAGATAAGAAAAGATTTGCTCTATTAGTTTGTATTCCACTGACATTGCTGTATTGCCATCTTTCCATGGGCTGAAATACATGAAACTGTTGTTATAACTTATAGCTCTGATGCTGAATTATCTTAATGTATAGGAGAGCAAATCAACAGAGAGAATGTTGAATCTGACAAAAGATGCATTGTGTGTATCTACCACATGGATTGACAGATATAAAAAATATAGAACCACATGGAAATAAAGATTGATTATAAACCAATATTGTACAAGCTAAGTATGAACAAGACTATTACTCCGGATGGTTTTAGGCCGCCGATATAGTTTCGAATTATTTATAAGCATGAAATCTTTTAAAATTTCCGCAAATGATCAATTACAGGCTTTTAAGAGAAAGTCACTTAGTTTCGAATTATTTATAAGCATGAATTATTCTTGTTATATGGACTTGATTATGGACCTCTATTGTAGTCTTGAGAAGCTTTCTTTATGGGCCTGATAAATTGATCTTCGTGGGCTAAAGGGAGATTAAACTCACTTGAATGAACCTCACATTTTCGTTAGGATTCTTTAGAATAATTCTAAATGTATGAACTTTATATATAAATTTTTATATACAAATTGATGTGGTACAAAGAATTGACGAGTACATGTAAACAAGCAATTAAATTAATGTAGATAAATGATATTACAAGAATAGAGTTATGTAACATTATTTTGTGGATAAGAATTTATACGTTCAATTTGTACATATATCGACATGCCTATTAATGTAACGTTCACAAGTCTTTCTTTAAAAATAAAATTGGTATTTTTTTATAAAGAAAGCATATATATTAATAAAAACTTTAATTTCACCTATAAGAGGTTAATCAAACAGTCAGATTTACGGTTTGCTCTCACAAAGTCTAGGTTTGAATCCTATCATGGACATCTATATAATCAAAGCTCATTATTTTCTACTTCTCAAAGATAATAAGGTTCTATATATTGTAGAAATTCTTGGATGTATTACTCAAGAACTTTAAAAGGTTTTAGACATAAGTAAATGTGTTAAACCCAGAGTGAAAATCGCTGTGCCACAGTAATCCTGTCTTTCCTCAGTTATTTAGTGCTCAGTACCTAACAGATTCAACCCTGATTAACAAATTTTTTTTTTCTTGTAATAATCTGCTTGTTTTATCTTTATCTGATTATGTAGGAACAGGACTACAATAACATCTACATGGATAAATTGCTAGACGTCATGCCAACTAGTCATTATAAACCACCGATCATTGTTAGTAGCTTAGATATTGTAGGCTGCCTAGCTGCCAAGTGTAATGTTACAAAAATGTACAGACTGACAAACAAGTGTGGTTCATAGTTGCTTAGATTTCATTTGATGTGTGATCACATCAATGGCAGGAGAATATTTTATTTTTAGCCGATTATCCGTAATTCCTCTTCTCCTGAACGGTGTTTTTCATAGCTGTCTTCTACTTTCTTTGCTCTGCTTTTACTGCTTAATTATGACCTGAGATGTAAAAATTGAGGTTGTCATCTCATAAATAATATGTTACTCATATACCAATCTCAGGGACTTCAAATGTTGCTCTTGCAGGTACACATACTTGTGGATAATCTGGATACTGCAAATACAAACTCTGTTAATTTGAGGGCTGCCTTGTCTGCTGCCCCCCTCTTCCATGTCACTTTTCATTCATTTTATAGTTGCTGGAGTTATGATTAGGTCTTTGACTGTGCAGGAAGATCTCTTTGCCAAAATATGTAGCCTTTCATATATGGGAGATTTGCGTGTGCTTGTTGCAGAGAATAAAAGCAAGGTAAAGCTTGATCACACGTAAATAAAAATATTGAGAAAATTGATTTGGGGCTTTCAAATGTGCATAGTTCATGGTTGACATTTTCATGTTAAAACTGAAGTTCTATTAAACCACCAAAAAAAAATAAAATTGTTTGTCTTTATGGAGATAATCGTATCTGATGAGTGAGAAATTTGCCGTTCATTGGAGGTATGCAATAATAAATGGTGATCATTAAAAAGTCATACAAATAATTCGTTGATGGGTGTAAGAATACCAACTTTTGCCACAGAGTCCCTCTCTTCCTCCCTCTGTTTTGCTCCATCTATATATTAAATTTACGTTAATAATAAGAGCTATACAGAAAAGAATAAGCATTTTTTTTTTTGTTCTAAGAAAGATTCTGGTTTTCATGTATAAAATTTACCTCAGGTAAAGAAGATTGTGCAAGGGCAGTTTGATTTTTTCCGCTCAATTTGTAAGCCATTTCTTCAAGAATATTTGGCCAAAGACTTCTTCAGAGTCACATCATCTGGAAGTCACCAAGCAAATATATCACAGGTTTGTAAAATTCGACCTTTATTAGTACCCAAATACTTGATTATGTATTGGCCTCATACCAAATATGACATATATATGTAAAATTTAGGTTAACCTCTATTTACTTATGTTACTTATAATCAATTCTTGAGAAGGGTTCTGTTATGGATCTAACTTGGTTTTTAATTTTTGGAATTTATGATTTCTCCATTGTCGGTTCAATGTTCCATTGTTTATACACAATATAATTGTTCTGGTGAAAGTAAATTCTTTTTCATGAAAAAGTTCTAAAAATTTGTTTTATTAAGTAAACTGTTGTTTGAACAGCTTTGTTCTTGTCATCTTATGCTTTGAAGCGCTGAGTTCTTACATGTTTCTGTCGCTTGAATCAGGCTTGTGGCTTGCTAGTCACTAGGCCACCAGAAATTAGAAGTCAAATGGGCATGAAGCTTGGAGAGAAGAAGATAATAAATGAATATGGTATGAACTTTCGCTGGTATGCACAGACTAATACGAAATATTATTTTCTGAGGCTATAAATGAATGATTACGTAATATACCTTTTGCCGATCGAGGTATAAATGAAGTTATAGTTGGTTCAAGAGAAGAGGCAGCTAAATGCATGCAGACTGATTTCAAGTGCAAGACAAGCAGTCTCTGGTCTACTTGCTGTAGGTGGTATCAAAGATACTAGATATCTTGCTAACAAAATGCAGAAAGCTTGAAGATCTTGGACATAATTTTTCCCATTTTTCTTTCTCAAAATTCCAATATGAGATCTGATAAATAAGAAAGTGAGCTGATGATTTTGTCTCTTGATAATCTTTACCACAAGCTGTTGTAACTGTAAGTTATAAATTTTGCAGATCAAGTAGTCTTATGATTTCATTATCATAATTGGTTTTTGATTGGTGAGGTAATTCTGGGATCAAACAAACTAGTCTCTTTGTAATGCACCAAAAATTTAATCCTATTTCATTCAATACATACTAGAATGAGCCCCACCAAATAGATGTCCAAGAAATAAATTCAGCTTGCTATATTCACGGATAGGAAGTTGCAGTCTAACTAAAAAGAACTGCATTCTGGATATACCAAATGGATGAACAAATAGAAACAAACTTTAATTGGGAAACAATCTAAAACATTATTCAGTAGAAACATGATTGACATCAATCAAGTTAAAAAAAATGCAGGAATCGGAATTGAAACCTTTTTCACTTGTTGACGACTTTGACAAATCTCTAAGAAATCTGCAACAGTTGAACAACACAAAGTTACACATCGAACCTACAAAAACAAAACATGAATCCAAAAAATTATTAAAATAAACTATGGTTTGTAGTGTATACCAATAATACGGCTATTGGTTTAATTAATTTTATCCTTGGATTGGTAAAGTTATGAACTATTAGTTAAAACCTATGACTAGGAAAATTTTTAACTTAAATTTTGCATAGAAGGCAGTATGAAGTTAGAAATAAATTAATTTCTCTCAATGCAATTACCAATATTGAAGGGTATTCTAACAACATTATAAGCTAGGGTATTTAAACAATTTACCAGACTTATATCGAAGGTAATGGGAGAGACTTTTACATTACACGTACCTGATCATTCATTATTCCAGTCGGTCATTTGAAAAAGCTTTCACTCAGGGTGGGACAATTTTGTATCATCAATTCACTAAGGTTGAAGAGGTTCAGTATCCCATCTGGCAGAGATGACAGTCCTTGGCAGCTTACAATCTCAAGTTTTTGAAGCGCTGTGAGATTTCCAATCCATGCTGGTAACTCTGTGAGCTTAGGACATGAGTCAATCCGCAGATACTCTAAAGTGTTAGCAGATCCTTCAAGAATCATTTGGGGTAGTCCTTCTAAATCATAAATTATGAAAACTTTAAGGTTCAGACGGAAGTGTTAGCAGATCCTTCAAGAATCATTTGGGGTAGTCCTTCTAAATCATAAATGAATATGGTATGAACTTCAGCTGGTATGCACAGACTAATAGGAAATATTATTTTCTGAGGCAGTGTACAAATTAAAACTTATTCTGCATCCAATTTTCCTTAAGAGAACATGTGATCGAAAATTTTTCATTAGACCTTCTATACTTAATCCTGGATACTTGAATGATTACATAACATAACATTTTGCAGGTCGAGCTATAAATGAAGTTATAATTGGTTCGAGAGAAGAGGCAGCTAAATGCATGCAGAAGGTTCTGCGACGAACCGTAATGGTTTAAAGTGCAAGACAGGCAGTGTCTGGTCTACTTGCTGTTGGTGGAATCAATGCTACTAGATATCTTGCTAACAAAATGCGGAAAGCTTGGAAATCCTGGACATAAAACTTGCCATTTATCTTTCTCAATTTTCATGAGATTTGGTCAGGTAGATTATAACTTTCAAAATGAGAATGCATTATCTTTACGACAAGCTACCCTGCCTTGACTGTAAGTTATGAATTTTGCAGATCAACTAGTTTTATACTTCCATTTCATAATTGGTTTGTTTGTTGAGGTAATTTTGGGTGCAAGCAGGCCACTCCCTTTGTAATGAACAATATCATATTTATTCTATGACCTTGTTTAAAAAATAAATTAAAAAAAAAAAAAAAGATCATTTGAGGTACATTTTATGGGAACAAAAACAGCCAAACAAACAGTAGCATTATCCAGTACAAACATTATTAACACGAATCCAGTCATAACACAGGGAGAAGTATATCTTCCCTTGAGGTTTCATGAAATTATTTAACACACCCATGAGTTTCGGAAAATAACAAATACTCCCAACATAACAATCCGTGACATGAATAAAAAGAAAAAACATCACAATAAGCAGGAATCGGAATTGAAACTTCTTGCACTCGCTCAAGACTTTTGACAAAGTCTCCATAATGCTGCCAAAAAAAAAAAGTACGAGTTACCCAATAAGTAAAAAGACAGAAAAAGTTTAACTACTCTTTCTGTTTCAGGGTTTAGGGGCCGGAAAAATTTAAAAATAAAAAAATAAATAAAAAGAAAAAGAAAAGAGATTCCAGTTATGTGGTGGGTTGCATGGGTTCCCTCACTTCCAAAGTCCCAATCTTTCTCTGCAACTCCCTCACTTTCTTCTCACTCTTTGACCCATCAATTCCTCTCTCTCTAATTCCTCCAATTTCGCTCCTTTCTCTCCCAAACTATTTTTCAACTCTGCCACCTCACCACTCTCTTTATCCCTTTTGCTCATAGTTGGGGTTAGCTCAGGTTGGTGTAAGGATCTTAAAGTCCCACATCATTAAGGAATCACTTGGCATGTGGGTTGATAATAATTCAAGTCAATTTTGAGGGTGAATTTTCCCCATTAACAACCACAAACTTTAAAATTCGCCTTTAAAACCTCCATATAAAGGAAGAGTGTCTAAATATTTATTAACCCACATACTATATTTTTCTGCCAAACGAGACCTCATTTATTTCGTTAAAACCTCAGAAATGATCCACATTTTTCGTATCAATCAAGCTAGAAAATAGAGAAATAACACCTTTTCCCTTAAGGTTGTATAAAAGTAACACTCACACGCATAAATTTTGCACAACAAGGGTGAGTTTTACCCGATTAACAACCAAACTTTAAAATTCACCTTAAAAACCTTCTTATAAAGAAAGGACGTCCAAATAGTAACTAACCCACATGCTATATTTTTTAACCAAACAAGTTCTCATTTATTTCGTTAAAACCTCAAAAATGATCTACATTATTCGCATCAATCAAGCTAGAAAATAGGGAAATAACACATTTCCCCTTAAGGTTGTATGAAAGTAAGACTCACATGTGTAGATTTTGCACAATAAGGGTGAGTTTTACCCAATTAACAACCACAAACTTTATAATTCACCTTTAAAACCTCCTTATAAAGGAAGGGTGTCCAAATAATTATTAACCCATATGCTATATTTTTTAACCAAGCGAGAGCTCATTTATTTGGTTAAAACCTCGGAAATGATCCAAATTATTTGTATCAATCAAGTTATAAAACAGGGAAATAACACATTTCCCTTTAGGCTGCATATGGTTAGGGCCCTAAGAAGATTACTCCTGATAATCTTATCTTTAATTTGGTCATTATTTTGTTTGGTTTAGCAGGTAATACAAGATTCATGTAATCTTTTATTACTCAAGCCCTTCTTTTGATGTCAAATAATAATTAACTAAACTTGTTGAATGATTTCTTTAACCTTATTAATTAATTATTTGAACAAAAATGCCATACATAATAATAATAATAATAATAATATATTATATCTTTTTGGTAATAAAATATTTTTGGAATCAAACCCCCCTTCCGGTTGTATGAAAGTAATATTCAAACGCATATATTCTGGACAATGATAAATACATGGGAATAGCAATTCAAGAACACAGATAAAAAGCATCACAATCAGTAGGAAATGGAATTCAAACCTCTTTCACTTGCTGGAGGCACATAATACGATCTCTGAGACAGCTTTAACAACTGAACAACACAAATTGTACAATAAGTCAGAAAGATATTTACACTACTAAAATAAAAAGGATATAATAAACACAAAAAAGAAGGTTCTGCAATAAATAATTCTAGTCATTTGGTGGGTTTACTCACATTATTACATTTTTTTTTTCTTTAAAAGAAACTATTTAACTATATTTAAGAGTGTTATGCTTGAGACAATGGGGCTGACGTGGCGCCCTGTCAGCGCACGTAGATAGACCTCGGGAAGACCCCGCTGACATCCTGGCGTGGCCGCGTCGCCTGATAACACGAGCAGCACACTCCTGTCAGTGCAATGGGTGCACGCCAGACTGAAGAAAGGCTAGAAGATGTCCACGTGTCTAAATCTCTGCACACGTCGCGTAAAACCCTCGAAGTAGGTAGGCGACGGGACGTATGGAAGGATCTGCACTATATCCGTCCCCCTTTCTACGGATTCAGTAATGATTACACCAAGGTATCCCACTATAAATAGAGAGTATCTCTCTCGTTTGTGGGATTCGCGCATTCTACTCTTTATTAGCTTCATTTACTCTGTAATAACTCTCTCTCTCTCTGACTTTTGTACTCCCAAACACTGTAAGATCAGCTCGCTAACCGCGACCTAATCCTCCCATAATATAAATACAATATCAGTGGACGTAGGATTCGCTTTTAAGCATCCGAACCACTTTAAATATTGTCCTGCCACCTTTTACATTTTCTACCTATCATTCACGTGAGTTTTCTGGGCCAGCTCAGCATCTCACACGTGCGTTTGGTTGGTGATAAAATCACGCATCAACAAAGAGAAATCATCAGAACCCATCTTTGCCGTTGTTTCGCAGATTTACCAACTACTTACCTAAATCAAAATCATTAAAGTTGTGATCTCTTATCACTAATATCAATAGAAATAACTAATTAATTTCTTCTCACTCACTGCGATAATCAAATACTGACCAGTATAGTATTCATAAACTAGAGCATTTAAACAATTTACTGGCTTATGACAATAAAAATCGGGAGAGTGATTTTAACATAATATACCTGATCCTTCTATATTTCCTGATTATGAAGCAACTGAGGATCAAGATGAATCTCTAGGACATGAGAAATATTCAACCAGTTCTGTCTGCAGTTTTCACTCAGCTCAGGACACTTCTGTATCTTCAATTTTTTAAGGTTCGTGAGGTTCTGCATCCTGTGACGGTCACTCTTCTTCGCTGATTTGCGACACGTGGTTGAGATCAACGGTGAGATACGTTTTCTGCCCAAACGCCGTTTGACTTTAGGAAACCAAAGTGCCACTTCCTTCACTATAAAACCTCAGGCTCACTTCAGGTAATGTTACAATACTCACTTCTTCAGAGAGAGCAAGAAACTTTCATGAGCCTTGGTTTTCTGTCTTTCAGACTAGTGCGTGCTTCACACTCGGAGCAGGAGGATCAATCTTCACACTTCAAGAGGTAAGGATGGTTCCTCTGCCACTTTATTATTATTTTCTGGTTTCAATAGTTGCCATGCGATGACAGTCTGCTGGTAGTTGATCAGAGATGAAATCTTCTCCTTGGGTTTGAGCCATTAGGGGTGGCTCTAAAGGATTCTTTTAGGGGTTTTCTAGGGTTTAAGGGAGGAAGCATTTACTTTTTCCTCCACGTCATCGTACAAAATAGTGTACGATGACTGAGTGATTCCTGCATGTCGCTTTTTTCAGACCGCAGAGGAATGGATCCTTCAACGACTAGGACAGATGAGGGAACCAGCTCGCCGGCATAGGATGCTCCTGCGGGTCCCCTTTAAGAGATTCTATCGATGATTACGACTGAGGAGATTCAGAAAGTGGTAGACCAATACGCTCTCGGCATGGAGGTCTTCCAACATAGGACATATACAGCTCGGAATCTGCCAAAAGGAATGGCTGTGATCTCCGAGAACATCTTTAATAGTGGAGGGCTGATCCCTTTCCACCCTTTTGTTAGGCGGTCCTCGGTCACTTTGGGATCACACCGCTATAGCTCATGCTGAATGCGTATATAATAGTCGTGGCCATGTATATCGCATGCGGCAAAAACGGATTAGGTGAGCTAACCGCGCTAAAGCTCGATTGCTCATACATTCTAAAGAAGAGTAAGGACAAGGACTCCTTCTACCTCTCGAAGCGTCCTACGATCGAAGCGAGAATACATAGTTACCCTAGCAATGTAGGGGCATACGAGATGAAGTTCTTTTTTCTTTCGATATGATGGCATTTGCCAATTTCAAGAGCTGAGTAGGTTCTCCTTTCTTTTGAGTTAGCGAATTTACTTTTAATCTTTGCTAACAAGCTCTTTGTTTCTTCGTAGTTAACAAGACGACCAGGTTATCGGCTCTCGAGGATCCAGACAGAATCACTGCCTTCGACTTTTTGCCCCGAAAAGAGTTGCGACGCAAGACTGCTCGTGACAACCGCAAACTTACAGAAGCACAGTTTCTTTAACCCTGAAGCGACCTTAAAGACCACATCGAGTAAGCATCGTAACCTTCGCCTGTCTTTTGATTCTTCATGCAACAAACTATTTTGCTAACAATCTTCGCATGTAGCGACCATGTCTCCTAAGGTGCCCAGATCGTCACGACCAAGGCAATTCTCCTTCCCCCAGTTAGGTGTCACCGGACTGGCTAGAGCAGCTCCCAACGGTGTCCCCATCAGAGGGGCACCAGCCGGTGCTCTGGTCTGACCTATGGGCGCTCCCCAGCCTTTGGCTGGTCGCT